TTTAGTGGCCTTTCATTGTTTCCTTGTTGTTTAATGTCCATTTTACAAAGTGATAACTTATAACACTTATAAATTGCTCTTACATTTCACGAATAATTTTTGGTGAATAGTTTTAAGGAAAAAAATTCAAAAGTCTATTGATAGGCACAGGATATTGAAAATACCATTTTATATTTAAGTGGAAATTGCATGAATTTTGCTGACTTTACAAAAATAATAACTGCATTGAAACATTTATAAATTACATTACACTATATTATATTAGTAGTTTCACATTAAAACAATTATTACAAATATAGTCTTGTGTGGAAATTAATATGCTGTTTATTTTAAAACATTGCTTAAAATGGATTTATGTAATATAATATTAGTTATATAGACTTTTCGTATTTTACAAATTAAAGATAATTATTTATATAGCTAATTGATAATTAGTAATTATGTAACAATTTAAATATAGTATAATTTAAAATGATGTGTTATAATTAGATTAACCTAATAGGATCTTATTGTATAATATTTTTAAGAATATCCAAGTAAGTAATAGGGAACTTGGATACTACTTAATTATAAATAACATTATGCTTATTTAAAATATTTGATAATTTATTTAAAGTTATAATTTCTGAAAAATTGCTCAGTTATTAACATGGAAACGAGAAATACGAAAGGAAACACAAACAGAATAATTATTTTACAATTTTTCCTTTAGTGTCAACAATTTTAAAATAAAGTTTAATAAACTTTTAAATTTATAATACAGTATATTCTACATATCTGTACATATCATTTAGTCAATAAGTTATTCACAATAACAATATGAGGGGTTTACTAATGTTTTAATGTTTTTGTACTGAATATTGTTGTTAACACAAATAAAATAAGTTTATTTAAAGATAGGTTAAAAAATTATTGGATAACATAAAAAAGCTAATCTACTACAATATAATAATATACTACAATAAAATACTATTGATATGCGGTATTATGTAAACTATGTTTAGAGTTAAGGTTTTCTATTAGAAGTATAATTATCGATAAAATGTGACCAGACATGAGGGCAGGCATCAAACCGGTCAACATATCTTTTATATTAATGTTCTCATTTGAATCATTAATGGTTTCATTCAGTGATAATGCGATCTCCCGTCCCCTCCAATCCATACAATATCTTTCAAATGATTTGTCTTTAAGAGGAATGCCGGCCATTATTATAGTCGATATTCTTTCAAAGAGATGAATATACTGTATGTCATTTCATGTATACAATAAATAAATGTAAAATAAAAATTGATTATATTATACTATTTAAATAGAAATAATTAATATTAAATAAACATAATTAACAAGTTTATAAATATATAAAATACTTAGTATTGAACATTAATTTTTTTTTAAAAATTGTATGCTTAAACCTAAATTTCTAAAAATATAAAATTTCATAATTTATAAAAAGTATAATTAAAATAAGTATTTACAGTTTAGTAATTTGTTGTGAGTGTGGGTATGATTTGGAGACCGCATATGCCATGAAAGTTAGCGCATACTTATGTTCGGCAAAAATCAGTGGCAACGCCGGTGTTAATGCCATTATATTTCTATTACCCTGCTCACTAGATATACTCACAATACCCCCTTTTGCTATACGCTTTGCCATTTGAGCATAACTACGTGGGTTTCTTCCCAACTTATTGTCCTCTATTTGATTTTTGACGACATGATACTTAGCTATCATGGATGAGTTAATAAGTTTATTCAGAATTGATTTTGTAATTAATATCTTCATATGTCGATGGCTTATGTCATCAAATGAAGTGATCAATGGTCTTGTGGGTGGGTTTATATATATGCCTAATAATTGTCCCGATAGTGCATATGAGATGATCGGACACATTAATAGCCATATGGCCAGGAATATGGATATTAACTTAGTTTTGTGGTAAAGATTTACGGATTGTAATAATAAAAGTGTTAACAATTGTTCAAAAGCCGTCATAAAATTAGTATTGGATATTAAATGAAACATTAAATATGCGTAAACTGTCATTGATAAAAATAAAGTAATCCACACCTAAATAAAATGATCAAAAGTATATTTCATATTTTAGAGATAATTATAATATGAATATATTAATGACATCAACACATACAACATAATCAAAAAGGAAAACAAATGAGAGAAATGCATTTTTAGTGGTCAATGCCTTTGCCGTTAAGATTGTCAGATGAAAGACCTCGCTCTCAATGATGTGATGAAAGGACATGGAGTCTATGAAATGCATATATCATGATAATGTCATTATGTTGTCCGACTATAAGATAACTATTTATGATTATACAATAAGTATTTTATAATTAAAATAAATCAAACCAGTGTATCGCATATTTTTTGAGCTGAAAATGTGAACATAATTTGAACATTCAGTTTACACATTAAGTATTCGACAATAGCTTTAGAAGTGTGGACCAAAAGTATCTATAAATAAGTTATAAACAATTGATTTAATATTAATAAATGATTAGAGATTTATAAATAGATAATTATACTACTTTCCGACCCCCTATTATATGCATAGGGTTAAATGTAATGACAGTCAAATTTGTCTTATTATTCACTGGTGGGACAATTGTGTCATCAATACATGATAACCATTGGTTCAAGGTATAGTTATTCCAAAAGTGATGTTTATATAAAAAGGGTTGTATAACTTCATTTTCAAAATTACTACTTCCCATATTTATGCCATTAACTATTATATGACAAAATTTATTTATTATTAAAATATTTTCAGAACAAACAATAACTTAAGTACAGACAATAAATGTCAAGATCAATTTAGGTGTTTGAATAGCACAATAAATTTTCTAGTACTGTATTTGTAAAATAGACAAAATCATTATCAAGCTTAATGACTCGTTTAGGACAGAATAAACTGGTGTAGAAATATTAAATGTTTTATTGCATTTAAATAAATATCAAATGAATATTGTAAACACTTTGCACATATTAATGAATTAATTTTATTAAATCCATCTATTTATATCAATTATGAGACTTGTATTTTCAATTAGCGTATATTTTTTATTTTATAACACATATAACAAATTACCAATACTTTATAAAATTTTTAATTTAACTTTTTTAATTGATATTGTTAATTAGTGTTGGATAATATTTTTAATAGTAATGACATTACAATATTTTAAACAACAAATAACTTAATCCAAATGGTTTCAATAATAAGTGTAAATAATGATAACATGTGACCAAATACCTGTATGAGGACAGGTATTGACACAGTTATCATTAATACTAAATTTATGGTCATTATGTATTAAAACTATATCTTTATTTTACATCCATAGTATGCCATACCCTTCCCTCCTTTCCACTGAATAGTGTTTTATTGATTTTTCTTTTAGATGAATACCGGCGACCATTACAGTAGTAATTCTGTATATATTTTAGATCAAATGAATTGATTTTAAAATTAATTAACTAATAAATTATTAATTGATTCATACAAACGAGTTATTTGTGATGAATGTGTGTGTGGTTTGGAGACCCCATATGCCGTTTATTTTTAGTATTTATAAGTTTTAAAAATTAATTTTTATATCATTAATACAGGTAATTTTAATAAAAATAAGTTTTATAATATCATAATGTTCAAATAAATTACAAAACTATCTGTCAACTAAAAAATGCTATTATTTAATGTTTAGTGTTATAGTTTTGAATTAAAATATAATTATTTTGGAAAATATGATACTGTATATAGAATACAAAATAAAATAATGAATTTTATTTAATTATTTTTAATTGAACTAGAAATTTAATTTTTTAAAAGTTTAATTCAGTAATATTTTGTTTACAGTTTTTATTGTACAAAATAATAATATTAATTATGAAAAACAAAAAAATCTAAATTTGTTTATCTATTAAATTTGTAAACAATTTAATAGCTTTTACTTTATTTTATTATTTGACAACTTAAGTTACTATTAATAATTAATATTTTTAATTAAATACTATTACTATTCAAAAGGTTTATCATTAATAAATCTGGTGATCATATCTAATGTAGCCCTGGGCTGATCATACGGTGCGTAATGTCCGGCATTTCGGACGATAACGTGTATAAAGTTGTTGAAACCCTTTGCATAACCGGCTATTTGTAAGTCAGTTGGCAGTACTTTCCAAATGACACGCTTAGCTAAACTGTAATCTTTATAATATTTCCAGCCTATCCATTAATTTTGAATCAATATTAATTAAAATACATTACCGGTATATAACTACTATAACTGAATATAACCTTATTTTACCTTTATTTTCGAGGATCCCGATGATAGAGTCAATACCTATCAGAATATCAAAATTTCCCGTAAATAACAACACTTTATAATTGTTATCAATAATAGCCGTTAGGTTTGGTGCCATAGACATCATGTAATCTTCACTCAAGTATTCAAGAACTGTATCGCTTTCATAGTTATATTCTAGAGCACCGACATGTATGGCATTACGGGTTTGGTTCAGTGATAGGTACTTGATAAAATTACTGGCTGATTGGAAAGGTGGACCAGAATCATATACATTATAGAACTGTAAATAACCAGTTACATTGGTCCCAAATACCTCTGTATGAAAAATTGAAAAGTATTAATTAACTAAACAAGACAAAATTAATGAATAATTTGATTATACTGTATTCATAAGAATGAATTTTTTAAAAAGTTTCAGATTATGGCTAAGATTAATACTGCACCGGTATATCATACCTAAAGCTGAGCTTAATTGCAGTGCTTTTAAATAGTCCTTATCCTTAATGGCAGTCCTAATACTGTCCTCCCATTCACTAACTTCTATGGCCTCTAACTCGTCCACTAAACCCATGCTTTTGTAGACATCGGCGGTATTTATTTGATTGATTGGATCGATCCAACCGTTACCGATGGCTACTCCTCTGAAATTAATTTGTGAATCGTCTGAATGTTGCATCAGTTTGTATGCGAGCGCCGGTACGTAATGACCAGCATATGAAATGCCCGCTATATACACATCATTAGCTCTGTATTCACTAAACACAGCGTAAAACTGTAGTAAAAATTCATATAAATTGTCGGCAACCATGTTCTCGTTTGTTGAATAGCCCTGCTTATTGTCTGTGAAACTAAATCCAGTTCCCACCGGATTGTCTATGTATAGAATGGACACCTCCTGTGCCCAAGAATTGGAAGTTATAGTGACATTGAGCTCCTGGTCCACAACTAGCGGTCCGTAAGTAAAGAGCGCGAATATGGATGATATTCCGGGTCCTCCTTCCAGCCATACGACTAATGGTGCGGTTTTCGGGCTTTTCTGATATTTATTTATATATTTATTTCTGGTATTAATTAATTATTATTTTGTGATTACTATTCGTGTGATTACTGTTACTTACAAACGATGGGAAGAACCAGAAAAACATATTACTGTTGAACCGGTCGTCAACCGTCAGAAATCCGGAATAACTTTCAAATGTCGGCGCATTTGGGAGACCCCTAACAGCACTCAAACACTTTGCTTCACATATTTGAAG